TGTGTATGTATATGTATTATATATATAAGTATGTGTGTATATTTGAATGTATATATGTGTGTGTATGTATATGTATTATATATATAAGTATGTGTGTATATTTGAATGTATATATGTGTGTGTATGTATATGTATTATATGTGTAAGATATATATATATATATATATATATGAAATCCAGGCACTTAGTGCTTACTACATACCAGGCTCTGACTTACGCACTTCACAAATACTAGCTCCTTTAATCCTCGTGATGACCCTGTGAGGTAGACACGATTCATGTCCTTATTGTATAGATGGGGACACTGAGTCACAGAGAGATGAACTAAATTTTCTGAGGTCATTCAGCTAGGGAGTGGCAGAGCCAGGATTCAAACCCGGGATGCTCAGCCCTAACCACGAGGCAAAATCTAATGTAAAGCACTTGGTATATAACAGGTACTGGGCAATGGTAGTAGGATTAGCATTACTATTTTACCACAGCCTCAACTCGCCTACCTTTTCACTGTGGAAAAATGACTGGGAACAAGCTTCTTTGGTAAATGGCCGGTTCTAGTCAAGTCAGGGATATAGGATGATACAAAGTAATTCCACATACATGATCTTTGGCACTCCTGCATTTAATATTAGTTCGTTTGTCTAAAGACCTATAACTCATTATGATTCCTAATTTTCCAGAGGCATAAATCTGAGTCATGTGTCGGATTCAGAATCTGGTTTCTGAGCACTGATCTTGTCGTCAGTGAATGGGCCGAGCCAGCTGCGACGTGCCTGCATCACATCACAGCTTCATTACCCTCTGTTTGCTGCTTTTCTTTTTCTTTTTTTTTTTTTTTTTTTTGAGACGGAGTCTCGCTCTGTCACCCAGGCTGGAGTGCAGTGGCCGGATCTCAGCTCACTGCAAGCTCCGCCTCCCGGGTTCACGCCATTCTCCTGCCTCAGCCTCCCGAGTAGCTGGGACTACAGGCGCCCGCCACCTCGCCCGGCTAGTTTTTTTTTGTATTTTTTAGTAGAGACGGGGTTTCACCATGTTAGCCAGGATGGTCTCAATCTCCTGACCTCGTGATCCACCTGTCTCGGCCTCCCAAAGTGCTGGGATTATAGGCTTGAGCCACGGCGCCGGGCCTGCTGCTTTTCATATAGAAACTTGTGAATGACAAACACTCGTGTTTCTTTATGGAAAATGGATGCCACAAGAATGATAACTGCTGGTGCTGATGATGGAAGCAAAGACATATACAAAACTGATCATTCATTCTTCAAAATAGGAGTCTTAAACAAATTGAAGAAGAGTGGAACATGGGATTGGCAGTGACCCAGATCTGTGCCACAATCACGTCTACCATAAGCTCTGTGCAAAACCTCAGAATAAGCGGTTTGTGAATTTCTACAGATATTTGTCTGGAAAACTGTGTGAAATCTGAAAGGGTGGGAGCTTGAGGTATGAAAACGCGTAAAGAGAAGACGAGACCTGACCGAAATGATATACTATAGATGTCTTTACCATTTTAAGAATTTCCCCAGGTCTGGGGATGAAAGCTTCGTGAATGCAATGGATTTGCTCTACCTAAAGAACACAGCTTGGTAGGGCCTTGGATATAGAAATCCCTTTCTTTTTTATTCAGGGAAGAAAGTAAATGGGAGCATCTGGGCTCATGAGGGTCTCATGTTGGAGTGAGCTGGGCTAAGACTCCCCATGACCCCTCCCTGTCCACAGCCAAAGAGCTGGCTCAAGACTCTTCCCCAGCCTCTCTATTCCCAAGGCAGCACAGGTTCCTGCTTCACGATTGGCAGGTTCAAGTATGATCGCTCTACACTTGGCCTCCTTTCCTCAATGCCCTGCCCTCCTTTACACCTCCGTTTTCCTGACTTCAGTGTTTCTACCAGCATTTTCAATATAGAAGGGGACTCATCAGATCAGCTTCTACCAGGGCTGATATTTAACTTGCTGGGGAGCCAACAGTTGTGACATTAACAAAGAACAGTAAGAGCAAAGGTGTGGCTGAAAACAAAGATAACTAGTGGGCTATTTTATGCACAAATGGTCCTTTGCCATTCCCATGAAGCTGAAAACAAATATCCTGAAACTATTGATCAGCAGCCAGTTAAATTAAATATCTAATTAAAAGAGAATTAGAGCTGTTTTAAAATCAGACGCCTCAAACACTTGCCAGTCAGAACATGATGAAACTGGGGGTTTTAACTGAGTAGCAGCAGCAAATAAAATATTTACAGATCTAAGCAGAAATAAATGCATAGATTCTCATTTTTAATGAAAATGCACATATGGCTATTTCAAACACACCCTGGTGAATACTTGATGCCCCTGATTTAGAGAATGTGCAGGGAGCACAGAATGCAGGCGAAGCACCATTTGTCAGGAAATGGCATAGAACCATCCAATGTTTCCAAGTGTGATCATTTGTAATGGAACAGGGAGAATGCTGCAAATGGAATTCAAGTAGGATTACCAGATGAAATATAGGACAGTGAATTGTCTTTTGAATGTATGTCCCAAATATTGCTTGGGACATACTTATGCTAAAATTTTATCTGTTTATCCGAAATTCAAATTTAACCAGGCATACTGTATTTTTATTTGCTAAATCTGCCAACCCTAAATCCAAGATTGTAAGTGACCTGGAGAATAGCTGGGTGACCAGCAGAAGAGAATCCTGGAGTGGCTCAAGTGCTGCAAGGGTGTTATGTGAGAATTCGAGCTTCCATCTCTTCATTTGTACAGGGGAGAATGATACTGTGCAGAGCTGCTGCTGTAAGGATTATCAGTGAAGTCATAAATTACATAAATGTCTGTCACATTTCCTGTATGCAGGAAATAGTAGTCACTATTGGTATGTAGAGGGCCTATAGCCAGCGAGTGGCAAACAATAAGCCCTTAATATAAGTGGTTCTTATTTCTAAAAGAAAGAGAGCTGTTAAGAGTGGCCATCATTTATGAGCACCTATCATATATATCAAGCACTTTGCCACATTGTCTTTTTTTTTTTTTTTTTTTTTAGATAGAGTCTCACTTTGCTGCCCAGGCTGGAGTGTAGTGTCGTCATGATCATGGCTCACTGCAACCTCAACCTCCCCAACTCAACAGATCCTCCCACCTCAGCCTCCTGAGTAGCTGGGACTACAGGTGCATGCCACCATGCCTGACTAATTTTTTGTATTTTTTGTGGAGACGGGGTTTCGCCACGTTGCCCAAGCTGGTCTTGAACTCTTGGGCTCAAGCAATCTGCCTGCCTCGGCCTTCCAAAGTGCTGGAATTACAGGTGTGAGCCACTGTGCCAGCAACATTGTCTCATTTAAGCCTCATTGAGGATCCTACAAAAATAGGTATGACTATTATCTTTTCATGGGAATAGAAACTGAAGCTCAGAGTTTAGCTGACCTAACATTATACCCGTTAGAGGCAGAGCTAGGATCCAAACCTGCTTAACTCCAAATCCTGTGACCCTTTAACCACATCACCCTATTCCTCACCATTTGACTCCAGGCAGGTAAGAATCTTGCTAGAATAACAGATTACTATGTTTGCCACAGAACTGACCTCAACTTAATCTCTTCTTGTGATAAATTTTTATCTCCAATAATCGGGGGATTTTTTTTTTCCTGTAGGAACACATCTGCCGTCTCATGATGAAGTCAGTGGAGAAATGGATTTTGCATTTTAGAAACTCACTTTATTGTCTACCTGGCTGATGTGCCTATTTTGCATAAAATAACAGACAATTGTAAAATTTTAAAATAAAAATACATAATCCTTTTAGAAAACTGGCAGGAAGTTAGATGGTAACTACAGATTATCTAGAAGCTTTTATCTTGTCCCAGTCGTCCTCACTGCGCCACCTCATTTGTTTAAACTGAACCCCAAAAGTCTGCTGCTCTTTCCCCTGTGGGCTTCACTGGTTAGAATAGGAAATAAAATGGTGGGCAGGGAGGCTGCCATGCTGGAAAAAAAGAGCTTTCGGAGGAAGGACAACCCTGAAAAGTCAATGCCTCTTTTTATAGCAATACAAAGGCTCTTAGTTGGGGCATCATCCAGGAAGGAAGAATTCCTCCTTTGAAGGAAACCGCGTTGTGAGGAGAACATGACTCAGTATCATTTCTTGCAGTGTTTAAGGCATGGGGAACTCTTGGGGAAGACGCAGGAGTCAGTGTCCATGCCAACCATGCCTGGAAGGGTAGGTCAAGACATAAAGCCAAAACAATCCAGACAGAAGAGAGATTTTGCCAATCCATACTGAAAACGCTTTCCTCCCCGATGCCTTGGATATGTCTGAAATGTCGAAATGGGGAGACATGGCCAAGTGCTTTCAGTATGCATGCTCTCAGTAAGACTTTACCTTCCATTTCTTTTATTGATAAGAATACCCCAGGACTTTGGGATTGTCACCTAATCCTAGTTTTTTTTTCCTACTTTTTATTGTGATAAAATACACATAACATGAAATTTACCATCTTCACCATTTCTAAATGTACAGTTCAGCAGTGTTAACATCGATGATGTTGTGCAACGCTACTTCATTTTGCGTTGTGATTTTGGACAGGGCAGGCAACAAAGAAATTTTACCCCTTGCCCCTTATAACAACAAGTTTCTTGGAAAATACTTAACTTACATGGCTCCCTTCTGAAGCTTGCCTGTTCGTTCCTTCCCTCTCCCTCCCTCTCCAATCATCCCTTTCCCTTTTGCTCTCCTTTAACTTTGTCAGCAACACTTGTGCTTCCTGGAGCAATCACTGCCCTTGTATTGATTATCCATTTCTTTCCAGGTCCTGTGGGAGCTGGTTTCACACCCGTTGGCTCATTTGCCTCCCCTCTTTCATATGGCTTGCCCTTCGGCTCACTGACGAATTATTTTGTGACCCCTTCTCTGGGGGCCCCCATTCCTCCAGCCCTGACCCTCTCTGGACTCATGGGTCTGAAATTAGTGTTTTAAATCCCGAGTTTGTATCTGAAGGTCAGCTGGAGAGCTGTTTACACGTCAGCCCCAGAGGGCTTATTTGCACAGTGTACTTACCTAAGCAGGGCTGGTTACAAGCCCCAGAGGCCCCAAGAGGGCTTCTCAGGCCTCACCAGCAAGAGCACAATTAGGGACCCGTGGAGGACTCTTGTTGCCGAAGTAAGTTTTCAGCTTCCAAAACCAAGTCTTCTGATTTGCTACCAAGCCTTTCCCCTTGTTTATGCCAGCAGGTTCCTGAGTCTCAGCTTTCCCCGTGGAGCTAAAGTCTTCACTGCAGAACTATATTCGTCATGTGTTTGTGTTTGAGGCACCTTCTGAGCCGCCCTCTTAGACGCTGTCTCTGAGCTCTGCACAGGCCAGAAAGGGAGAGACACAAATCGGCACCAGGATGTCTGGGGTTTATCAGATGCTTCTTTCTTTCAACCTAATGACTCTGTTGCTTCAGGGGCTGCCCCAGGGGTGTATGAAGAAAGCTGAGCTTCCTTTATATCTGTTTATTATCTGCTTTCTTTTTAAAGGAGTTTTGAAGTCTTAATAATTTGGTACATGGTTGTTTTTTGTTAAGACTGTGGTGAGGAATTACGGTTCAGTTTCGTTTTTATGTTGGTATAATTGGTCTAGTTCATGCTCCACAAAGTGTGGCTGGTGTTATAAAAACTATCTAGCACAGAGTATTATTGGGGTTCTTTGGGATGGGAGTGGTGGTGAGTAGTATTCATGAACAATATCAAATACAGAAAACTCAATTTTTCTCCATAAATCAATGATGGTGATGGTGGTACTAGTGGTAGCAGTCATGATGGTAAGATAGTGGCAGTGATGGTGGTGATGCTGATGACGGTAATGATAGTGCTGATGATAATGGTGATGACGGTGACAATGGACAGTGGTTGTGATGATAGAGGTGGTGTTGAGATGATGGGGATAAGATTGTTAGTGGAGGAGGAAGAGGAAGATGATGGTGAAGAGAAAAGGAGGGAGGAGTGGTAATGGGGAGGGACATATTTCCATTATTATGCTCCTGGGTCTGTGACCTCCTTTCAGCCCGGAAGACTGCCCAAAGTGGATTCCCTTCCATAGGCCACCCCATTAACTCTGTCCTTGCTAGCATTCAAAAATATCAAGTTTTTGTGGACAATAGCAGGATACTGAGAAAAACACAGTAGTTTCTCACAGAGCTTCCCACTCTGGAGAGAGTTTGATCATGTGTATGAGTCATTACTTGTTAGCTCACCTTGGCAATCTTTAGATACAGAAAGAAGATACCAGTGGTGACTACAGTGCTTTGTACCCAGTACTTGCTTGAGGAGAAAAAGCAGGGATTTTGGTATTATACGGATGAGGGTTCAAATTTCAGGTTTTTCATTTCCTACTAACTTGTACTCTTTAAGCCTGACTTTCCTCATCCGTGAAATGGAAATGACATCTACTTGACAAGGCTGGGCAAATTAAATGAGACAGAGCGTGGCACATAGTTCTCAGTGAATGTCCCACTCTTCCCAGAAGGGGAAGTAATGGCGCTCCAGGCAGTTTTATGCTTACTTTCTGCTTCTCCTAAACCTAGGTCTTAGCTAGGACTAGCAGGCACTTCCTACCCAAAACATTTTTCATGAGTTACGTATTTACTTATTAAGTAAAAATTAGATTTATATGACTGAGGATCAGAAAGCTTCAGACATCAAAACAATAGTTTTAAAAAGAGAGAGAGAGAGAATTTAACCACTCAATTGGTTGTTTTTTCAACTGCTGCCCAGCTGGTTTTTTCCACTACATGGACTAATATTTTGGTTAACTTGACCATTTGAAATGATTCTATAACTTTTTTTTTTACACTGTGAGGATGTTTTCCTTGATATCTGGCCCCAGTTCTCTTTGCTTATGTCATTTCATCATTATTCCTACTTATGCCATCTGGTACCTGAATAAAACATTTAGATTCTATCATTTGAATTTGAACCTTTCAAATATTTATAAACCATAATCATGACTTCATACAGTCAATCCTATACATATTTAATTTTTTTATGATGAAGTCCTTTTTCCCTAAATTATTTATTTCCTCTCTGAAATCTTTCCAAAGTTGTTTTAGCCTTAAGATGAAGAGATGCCCCCAGGTGAATTGTCATCAGACAGACTCTAAAAAGTAGTTGTTGTGAAACATGGGGTATGTATTGAAAGTTCAGACTTCTAGCCCTCATCACCAGTGATTCTCATTCATAGTTCTGGGGTGTGGGGCCCAGGATGTGCATCTTAACAACGCCCTCCTTCCCCTCTCCCCAATATACAACGTCCCTCTCCCCAGTATACAGGTAATTTTGGTGTGAGTTCCCTGTAGAACACACTTGAGGCACATTGCCACCTCCCAGTTGACTTGGGAAAGTAAAACAGAAGACGTTGGTTCCCGCTTTCTAATGGGCAATCACATTCAGGCCTGTTTGCTTAAGATTATAGCAAAATTACCTTGACAGAGTTTTGAGTGTTTCCAAGTCTTCAGTCAAATAGCTATATTGTCTTGGTGTACTTGGTTTACTAAACAAAGTTTCTAGAAGACTATCAATTTACCCAACTCTTTAGTCTTTAGGTCTGGGTTGGTGGAAGAAGAAGGGTTGCAGAAGGGCACTTTATCTACCACGCCATGTCCCTAGAAATCTAGCAATTTTGAATCTTGTATGATTACTATTCACATTTCTTTTTTGTAAGAATATGATCCAGCAAATAACTAATAATAATTCTTCATACTAGTATAGCGCTTTGTGGTTCGTAAAATATGTTGACTTTCATTGTGTCATCTGATCTCCACAGTAGCTTTGGTTAAGGTAAATAGGCCAGGTATTACTGTTTCCATTTTACAAATGAAGAAATGCTCAGAGAGAATAAGTAACTTGCCAAGGATTTATAAAAAGTAAATGGAAGTCCTAGGATTTAACAATTACGGATTCTTTCATCATCTCTGCCTTAAGGTTGCACTTCTCTAGGCTGTGGTATTGTCAACCCTATAGTCTGAATGTTACAAACTAATAAGTAATACATTTGCCTCATTAAAATATCTATTACTTAGCTGCTTGGAAAGGGTAGAAAATATTGAAGTAGAGAATTTTTAAACTACCCTTTAATTATTGCATTGATGTTATTTATGATTGTATAATATTGTTCTTAATTCCTCGAAGTTTTATTTTGAAAGCTAAACATAAAGACAATGGCAGTTTGTCATGTTGAGAAGAATATACTTATTAACCTTGTAGGTCCATCCCACAAGTAATGATTGTCATATGGACCCTGTTGGCAGGAGAGGAAAGATGAGAGGTCTCCCAGATCTTAGGTAAGGCCTAGCCCATGCGTCTAGTGTTCCCAGTTAATGGATCATAATTCATTAAAATTGTGTATTGGACACTGGCTACATCCAGAGTCTACACATTAGATAATATTAAAAGAACATAAAAGGAATGTAAATGAATCTAGGCGCTAAGTGACTTGGGAGTCCTTGAACTTGCTGCTTTTACCTCCATTTATTTATTTATTTACTCATTCATTCATTCATTGAACACATGTTTTATTGAGCACTTACTGGAACTACACACTGTGCTGCGCACTGGTATTACAATAGCGGGCAAGATAGAACCATCCCTACATCATGAGCTATCAGCCCAATGGGAGACACTAACAAGGATGCTGGCAGCCACAGGCAGTGTGATAAATGCTGTGGGCGGGAAAGGCAGGGTGCTGCACATACACTCACAAAGGGCATCCAGTCAGCCAGCATATTAGGCCTAATATTTTTAAATGGATGTAGATTTATTGGGAGTGGCCTGTAGGGGGTGTGCTGATGGCATGGCTCCTGGCCGCTTTATCCCTTGGCACCCTGAGCGTACTAGGAAGTCATTGCCCTACACATTTAGTTGCTGGCCGCTTTATCCCTTGGCACCCTGAGCGTACTAGGAAGTCATTGCCCTACACATTTAGTTGCCTTTGCCTGAAATATTTCCTTCTTCTCCTCCCTTAGCTAAGTTCTAGTGCCCACACATCCCTACAGGCTAGGGAACCCTCTCTGTATTGTTACATATTCAACCCCTGTGCACTGCGACATCCTGTGAAAATCCTTGAACATCATCCTCATCACCCTCACTGTCCTTCAAGTATCTCCCCCATCAGTCTTTGAGCACTTCTAGATCAGGGCCTGTGTCATTTACCTCTGTATTCCCTGCACCAAGCAAATGCTTGGCACATACTAAAGGCTTAATAAATGTTTCCTGAATGCACAAATGAATGAATGCCCCTAACCTTTAATATCTGGTTGATGAGGAGGCAGGAAACTGAACATATACAAATAAAACCATTTGCAAACAATTAAGTGCAAGTCAATATTTCAATGTATCAAATCATGTAGCATCCTCTTTCCAATATTTAAAGTGCACCTTTTTTACCCAGCATGAATATTCCTGGGAGCCGTGGACTGTCCCCAACAGGGATAAAATGGGTGTAAATGTTATGTATACTTAATTTCTTTAATGAGAAAATATCAGAGGATTACTTGGAGTCACTAATGGTATTACCCCAGTAAAGAGTAAATCATTTTGAAGTTACTACATGCTATGGTTTGAATGTGTCCTCCAAAATTCATGTGTTGGAAATTTAATCTCCAATGCAACAGTGTTGAGATGTAGAACCTTTGAGAGGTGATTAGGTCATTAGGGCTCTGGACTAATGCTGTTATTGGGGAAGTGGATGAGTTATTGCAGGAGTAGGTTCCTCATTAAAGGATGAGTTCTGCCCCTTTCCTCTCCCTCTCTCACACCCTCTTGCTCTTCCACTGTCTGCCATGGGATGACACAGCAAGAAGGCCCTCACAAGATGCCAGCACCTTGATAGTGGACTTTCCAGCCTCCAAAATTGTGAGAAATAAATTTCTTTTTTTTTTTTTAAATAAATTACCCACTCTGTGCTATTCTGTTCTAGCGACACAAAATGGACTAAGACACCATGGGTAGGGTCTCTGAGAAATATGACTTGAATAGGAAAGTTTTCATCAAAAAGCTGCTCAGTTGCTGAGGTAAAAGCCAACAGGGCTCAGACTAGGGTGAGATGAGTGAGACCAGGTCATACAAGTTGCAGGATCACATTCTGTCTTTATTTAACTTTTTTAGTGCATCATGATTTATTGCATTAATTTTTATTTATTAAAATATAAATTATTTTGATTGATCAATTTTTTCAGCCTGCCCCCACAGCTCCCAGCCCTGGGGGCCCCCACCCTGTGAGCTCTGCCTTCCTAGTACACAGATTACAGGGGAAACTCAGACTCTCTCTGCGGGAGCTGGATGTCAGCTACCACCAGGGCTCAGCTGTGTATCCTTAGGGCTCACTCTGCTTGCCTGATTCACCTCCCTTTCCCGTTTTGCCTTCCCCTCTTCCTCTAGCAGTCTGAGCATTCTATACCTCCCCATCCCTGTGCTTCAATGCCATCTCACCCAACATCAACACTAGGGCTACATGTTCTCCAGAGCCTGCTCTGTCTCCCTCCTCCCTTCCCTTCTACCCACAACTGACTTGCTTTATAATGGAAGAAGTTTTTAATGCCTGCCATGAAATCCTGTCATCTGGGCAGGAAGGACAAGCTCCCTGGCTGAATCATCAAGAGGAGAGCACCTGCCTGGAATAAGGCTCTGAATCTTCTACAGCTCTCTTTTCTGTTTCCCTTCTTCAGAAGCATCCTCTGGGCCCCGCAGAGGCTATAGAACCAATACTGCCTGCACTGGCCAACTGCAGGGGCAGTAGCTTCCCACCCTCTGTGTGCCGCACACGCACTCAAATCTATGGCCTGAAATAATTTCTGCACATCCCTGTGTTGCTCCCATAGGACAGATAGAGGAACAGAGGCCCTGGCTGATAAGTCACATCAACTGATCACAGAACCACTGATGGACAAAACAGAGATTAAACCTACATTTTTGAGCCCCCACCGCCCCCCATCCTGTGTCCTTTTCATTATTCCATAAACATTCCCCTCTACCACACCCTAGTTCCCCCTCACCTGCCCACCCCTGCAAAGTCACTTGATCTCTTGATGAATTAGCATGGGCCAGTATTGATGTTTTAAAATAGCGAACTTTCAGGCTTAAAAAAGTCAAGATCATCTTTAAGTCCCCAAGGATGTATGCAACCAGTGATGGAAAATTCTTTCCCACTTCTCCCCCTCCAGTCTGAATTGATTTAGCAACTTTTCTTCAGCTCCTCAGCAGAGCCTTTCAGAAATTCCCACTTGCAGCACTGCTGAAGGATAGACTCCTGATGTGCTCTCAGCTGGACTACTGCTGTGGGCTTCAAAAACACAGATGCAGCAACAGTGAGTGTGTGCCTGTATTATATTTCTCAACTGAACATCTTCAGAAGCTGGGGACATGCATTTTCTAGCCCAGCATGTAGGATCTGTGGCCCCTGAGCCTGTGGGAGGGCAAAGTCCTGTAGAGAAGCTATTGTTTTCCTTGCCTTTGCTGATAGCATGAGATCAGCTAAATGATGGTGGCAGGTCTCCAAAACCAAGAAAAAGAGCAACTAGGGGTACAGTAATGGGAAGCAGTAAATTGTGGGAGATACTTGTAATCTAACCAACAGAAATCAAGCATTTTCTGGGAAATACATGAAGCACTGAATGCTTGAGTGCCTAATGGGTTTTGGAGCCCCAGTTAGTTTGTGTGGATGGGTGCCAAGAGCAAACAAATCACTGCAGCCACAAGCCGCCTCACTCCATATCCGAGATGCACACTGAGAATGACTGGAAAGGCTACTTGGTATGGGAACCCTAAAGCAGTTCGGATGGAGAGGCCCCCAGGGAAATGCTATCCTTAGTGCTTTCCAGGAAGCATCATTTACAACTTCACCCTTGGCCAAACACTAATATATGTGCTTTACACATATCATCTCATCGAAGCCTCATTATAACACTAATGGGTTAGGTGTATTATACCCCTATTTTAAAGATGAAGGAAGTCAGACTCAGTTAAGATCATACATCTATTAAGAGGTAGGGCAAAATCCAAACTCAGTCTTTTCTGATTCCAAAGCACATGCTGTCAACTGCCCCACTTTATTGCCCTCAGAGTTCTCTGGCACCAGTTACACCAGGCATTCCTAGCTACAAGGCATTGTTCATTCATTCATCCATACATTCAACATCCAGCAATATTTCTTGAGCATCTGCATTGTGCCAGGCCCTTTGCTAGGCCCTGGGGCCTCACTGATGAAGTGAGGTTCATCATGGACCCTGTCCTCATGGAACTTGGAATCTAATGAGTTCCATGGACCCTGTCCTCATGGAACTTGGAATCTAATGAGTGAGTGCCAGGGTCTGGAATAGGAGTTAAGGTCTCACTTAAGATTGGGCAGGTTGTACCTTGCACAAAGGCTCTGCACTAAGGGGGCCAGTGGGTACTGAAACCCAACTTATATTCCACTAAGCTATGTGCCCACAGAGCAACATCTTCCAGAGGAAGCAATTTAAAAAAATTTTTTCCCAAAGAGTAATATGGGCTATTCTGGAAGTACCTGCCTCCCTTAACTTTTCTTTCTTTCTTTTTTCTTTTCTTCTCTTTTTTTTTTTTTTTTTTTTTTTTTTTGAGACGAGACTTGCTCTGTCATCCAGGCTGGAGTGCAGTGGTGTGATCTCAGCTCACTGCAACCTCCACTTCCCAGGTTCAAGCGATTTTCATGCCTCAGCCTCCCAAGTAGCTTGAATTACAAGTGCAGTCTCCCACACCCATAGAAATGGGATTTTACCATGTTGGCCAGCCTGGTCTAGAACTCCTGGCCTCAAGGGATATGCTTGCCTCAGCCTCCCAAAGTGCTGGGATTACAGGCGTGAGCCACTGCACCTGGCTGCCTCCCTTAACTTTCAAGCCAGTGTCACCCTTAAAGACATCCTCATGTACAACCTGCAGTGTGCAGGGAACATGAATGCACCAGGTAGACTCTGGACAGTAAGGAGGTCAGCAGCAAGTCCGAGAAAGTGTACTCAGGTCTGTTTGACCCCAGTCAATGAGGTCCACATTCACCTTCAGGAAATCCTGCTCAGTCAACAATGATTTAAACCAATTCCTTCACCACTCCCAGGCAAAGTCCCTGTGTAAGTAAAACTTCCAGCGATTCCCAAAGACAGTACCCCCACCTCAGCAGACGGTGAAGGCCCCTGCTCCGCCCTGGACCTGCAGGCCTTCTGCCCACAACTGTCAGATCTCACAGGAATGCAAAGGAAGGCTTCTGGAGACACGTACTGCAGGGAACAAGGGGACAAAAAAGGCAAGCTGACATCAAGCCCAAACCCCAGTAATTTGGAGGACAGTATCCCTGGTAACAGAAACAGAGACAGAAGGAGGTCTCCAGGAAGAAGGATGAGTTCTTTATGTATGCCAACTTTCACATGTTAAACATGTCACGCCGGCCAGGCGCGGTGGCTCAAGCCTGTAATCCCAGCACTTTGGGAGGCCGAGACGGGAGGATCACGAGGTCACAAGATCAAGACCATCCTGGCTAACACGGTGAAACCCTGTCTCTACCAAAAAATACAAAAAACTAGCCGGGCGAGGTGGTGGGCGCCTGTAGTCCCAGCTACTCCAGAGGTTGAGGCAAGAGAATGGCGTAAACCCGGGAGGCGGAGCTTGCAGTGATCTGAGATCCGGCCACTGCAATCCAGCCTGGGCGACAGAGCGAGACTCCGTCTCAAAAAACAAACAAACAAACAAAAAAACAAAAAAAAAAAGTCATGCCTTCTATCCATGGAACCTTCATATACAAGGCACTATGTGTGATATTTACAAAAGCCCTAACCCGATTCCCTTTCTATAGATATTGATATGCAGAGAAACAAAATAATTTGGCTTAGGTCACATAGCTAGGAAGTGGCAGAACTAGCAAGTGGCAGAGGTGGGCCCTCTTGATTCAAAAGACACTCAATCAGTGTGTAGTCTAGCTTAGAAGTCCTCGGCCTGAAGATAAAGATGAAGGAAGTAAGATAAAGGGAATGAGGCCAAGAAACAGTGAGGCAGATGGAAAGAAGGAAAAGAAAGGTACAAAGGTAGTAGAGGGTGCACCCTAATAACTCCTCACAGATAAAACAATACAGCTACTGTGACCAGCTACCAATGCAGTTCATAAACACAGAGACTGTCAGAGCAGGAAAGGACCTCTGTGCTCCCAGCCTCCCCGTGTTATAGCTGAAGAGTAGAGGGCCAAGGCATCTAGTGGCTTCCCCAAGGTTCTCCAGGCTGCTGTGGAGGCAGAACCATGGCCAGGGCCCTGGCCTCCTGGCACTCAGGCCTAACAGCTTCCATCACGCTGTGCCACTGAGATTATTATCATCAGTGATGATGGTGCCATTAACAGCCATGGCCACCACTATTTGGTTTTTTAGCACCAGCCACCCTGGCAGCCATCTTCATTTTGTGACTTGAAGAAAACACTGCCCTGGTCATGCGAGCACAAGGGGAATGGAAAATTCCAGGTCAGGGAACAACACCCCCTCCAGGCATCCTTCTTCACCTGCCCTGCCTTCAGAGGCGCCAGGCCCTTTTGTCCCACCACCAGTTAATATTTCACTTGGGTGAGACTTTAGGGAACAAAGAACACAAAGCTGGCCTTGAGGGGCCAAAGGTAGGCAGCCCATGGTTCTCGGTGAGGCTCATAAATAAGAACAGGGCAAATGTACTTTGGATAAGGACGCACTCAGCCTCCCGCAGAACAGCTGGGGAAGCTATTCATAGGAAAGTGTGCTATTTGCGTCTGCCTGGCATTTGAATGAGGCTCACCTAACTGCGCCTGCCCTCCCCACAGATGTGAGTCACGCTCCCCACTCACGAGTGAGGAGTGGCCAGGGGCAAAGGAGAATTGCTTCTTGGCTCAGCTGAGAGAACTGTAGTGGCCGGGAGCAGCACTGCCAAGGATATCTCCCTCCCCCTGGCAGGGAGGGCCTCCAACTGAGAACGCTTATTCTTACAGAGCCTGACTCCCTCCATGTGAGAGAGGCGCCTCCTTGGACCCTGCTACTTTGTCCCTTGGCCCTTGGTCAAGCACAGGGGACAATTTTCAGCCCCCAACCCCTTGCTGGTGACTTTGGCTGTCTTCTCACATCTCGAGTACTCGGGGAAAGCAAGTCAGAGCAGCGTGGGAGGCCAGTTCCAGTGTCACGCTGCCGTCCTCCGAGTTCTACTGGTCCCTGGTCTCCAGTTGCAGAGCTTACAAGACGAGCTGTGGAGGTGAAGTGCGGGCGATTCCTCCCCATTAAGCAGCACTGCCTACTTCTGAAGGTCATCCACCAATGCTGCTGCCTCCTGTAGCATCCAGTGCAGTTCTGGCCTGGTTCTGAGCCGAGGGTGTGCTGGAAGCAGGGCCCATTATGGTCCAAAATAACCTTGGGAGGTCAAGCTCAGGCCTGGGCATCCCTCATCCAAGGAGCCCTGACTGGGGGGTCTCCCAGGGCCTAGCTGAAGAGTCAGTTCCACTCCATAGCAGCACTGATGGTTCAGATCAGTCTCAGGCCCATAAGAAAAACTCCAGTTCTGCACCAAAGCACAGTGGCCTTTGGAGTCCGTCAGACTCCAAGCAATAGGAAGGGCCAAGCCCTTCTCCCGTTGGAGGTTCTCACACACCTGTGGATCCAGAGAGGGGCTACCCACTGTGATCCTGGGAGCTGTGGTCTAAGGGGTCTCTGTATACCTGGTACATACTCAGCGGCGATTTGGGGTTTTTCATTAGTGAATGGCTTAGCTCCTCAGCTGGACCATAAACTTCTCAAGGGAACATGCTGTGTCCTTATCTTTACACAGCCAGCATGCAAACCGTGACCTCATATGCACTTAACACTTGACTATATCTCTTTGGCTACCAGACTCTGCTCCTCGTGGACAGGGACTTCTTAATTCTGTATTTCTGAATGGCCTAGTGCTGGCTGTGACACAGGGTAGGTATATAATTGATGGTGTTGGTTTGAATTGTCCAGTTTGAATAAAGAATTTTCTAAATAAGTCGACATTATGGCACAATGGACATAGATGAGACTACTAATGCATTTGAAATTTACACTAGTGGACACATGATGGTAGATGTGATAGATACATGAACCCATGTAAATTCCAACTTCGAGAAACTAGTAACCTATTTAGAAATTAAACTTTCTCCTGTTCTTCATGGGCAAAGATGATCCAAGCATGGAGGACATGACATTTAAGCCCTCTTCCCAGTGGAAGGGATGTGTCTCCAGCTAAATTTTTCTCTCAGTCAACATTTATGGGCAGCTACCGTGTGTTAGGCACTGTACTATGGGCTGAGTATTCAAAGAAAAACAAGGCACAGGTGAATCGTGAATGGAGAGCTACAGGTCTAGTGGGGCTAAAGGCACTTTCTCAAGGAACTCACGGCACTGAAAGAGCTGCTGCTTGAGAAGTATGGCCTAAGCTCCATGGGTGTGAGAAGCAGTGAATTCTTCCTGCGGCCAGAAAGGGAGGATGAAATTAGGAAAGATCTCCCAGAGGAGCGGATGTTTGAAGGACGGACAGATCCAGATGGACAATAGAGTATGTATTCTAGGCTGGAGGGTATTAACCAAAGCATCGAACCCCCTCAGTTCTTTGGGAGTGGAACAATCTCTTCTGCTCTCATTGTGGCTGGTGGCCTAATTGCTGACCAAGGTCAGGGTGACACCTTTGGCCAAAGAATGGGGCATTTGCTTCTAAGTCAGCCAAGGGCTCTTTCTGTCTGAAAATAGCTGCCTGAATTCATTTCCCCAATTAGTCCCAGAGGCCAGCGATAGGAGCAGGCTTTCTCCACGTGCAGGGCAGAAACTGCAACTAGAAAGCCGGCGCTGCAGCATGAGGAACCCCTGGGGAGCTGGCAGGAGGCCATGCCTGGCCACACCTTGAGGTCTGACCGGCTACGTTTGGACGGACCCTCTCTAGCTCTTTCCCTGTCATGTGACTGAAAACCTTATCATAATGAAAGCCATAAAAATGCCAAACTTTAACCTTATTAAAGTCACACTGTTCTGGTCTTGGCAATCCTAATAGGATTTTACAACTCAACCTCTCTGACTAGACTTCTTGAACAGCCCAGGGTCTGCGAGGGTCCGTGATGGGTGACTTAATGCCTTCAAGGACTAGTGCCCATCCACGTTCCCACCCTCCCTGTGTCCGTCCACCACCCGTGCTCACTGTGGCCTTCCATATGGCCTGCTGTTTTGTTACTCATAGAAACGGATAAATTTCCACTATCCTGGACCCCGGGAAAAACATATGAGCTTACCCTACAGCACTTACCAGCTGACATAGTATTTTCCTCCAGATTAATGAAGCACAGTGGAATTTTAGTGCTTGCTGTAATTATTAATATGTCAAATATGTTTGCAGGAGAGGCAAACAGGAGAGTGATGTGAGAACCTAGGAGGAGGGAGGAAAAACAATGGGAAGGGAAGAGAGGCGGCAAAGCCAAAGACGGACAGGGAAGGAAGAGAAGAACAAGGGAAGGACAGGGCGAAGAGAGGAACACGGACTCCCACAGGAGCTGGATCAGACAGGCTCGAGCACATTTAGGGACTTCCTTCTGCCCACGGCGACATTGGTAGGAAGGTGGGTCAAGTCAGTTCCTGAGGAGAGGTCTCCCAGGAGCAGTTATTAGCGTAAGGTTCTACATATTGGGAGGCCATGGACCTCAAAGATTTGAGGAAAGGTTTGGGGTTTATCCCCAGAAAAAAAAAACACACATAAAGAGGTTTACTTAGGGGTTTACTAAGCCCCTAAACCTCTATAAAAAAACACAGAAATGAAAAACCCCTGTGTTCAGCTGATGGTGTTTCTGGAGCTGGGACTGTGTCATCCCTGTCACCATCCCCTCTTCATGTGATGCCTTTCAGAAACAAGTTTGGAAAGGTGACAGTGGCCTCAGCCACAATACACATTCTTTTTGCTGAGCCTCTGTCTTGCCCTGTGAGCGCCCACCCTCTCCTCCCCACCTGCAGGCCCACCGCCATGCAGTTCTCAGGGGGAGGTTATGCTTACTCACAGGGTCCCTTCCTCCAACTTTAGGTAGTCCAGTGCCCCTACATGAAGTGGTGTCCATGCTGTGCATGAATATGCTCTGCAGTCTTGAGACCATTACACAGCTGGACAGAGAAATGCCTGGCCAAGCCACCAATGGGAAATGCTTTGCAATGCAAATGAATCCTCCAAAGCCAAGCATTCCCTTCTCCTACTAATTACTTTTACCTGGTCGCATTAGAAATCCTGGCCAACATGGTGAAACCCCGTCTCTACTAAAAATACAAAAATTAGCCAGGCATAGTGGCACGTGCCTGTAGTCCCAGCTACTCGGGAGGCTGAGGCAGGAGAACCATTTGAACCTGGGAGGCAGAGGTTGCAGTGAGCCAAGATCGTGCCATTGCACTCCAGCCTGGCGACAGAGCGAGACTCGGTCTCAAAAAAAAAAAAAAAGAATGGCTTCATATTTTGTACAGTCAGGAGCTGGCTCAATGTTAATGTCATTGTCTCTCCTGAAATCACCTGTCAGTGCAAGAGGGCTCTGAATTTCCTTTCTTATTTCTCGATCTAAGCGTGTACATAGTGTCATGGGCCAGGTTAATTAAAGCTCACTGAACATCACATACTATCCTCTGAACAATCATACATGTTGCTTCTTTAAAAGCAGAAAAGAAAAAATCAGGTTCTGTATGCCCTACCAAGCTTAAATCGTCTCTGTGATGGGAACTGTACAAAAGTCAACAGGTCAACAACAAACACGAATTTACATACTCAGTAGGTGAAAGAGTGAGCCAATTCATAGATTTCATTTCTGATTGTACTTTTTGACATTTTATTTTGAAAGAATTGTAAATCCACAGAAGGTACCTAAAAGGTGGAAACAACTCAAATGTCCATTGATGGATAAATGGATAAATGTGGTATAGTGGTCCGCCCTTATCCTGGGGGGATACATTCCAAGATCCCCCAGTGGATACCTGAAACTATGGATAGTACCGAACCCAACTACTGTCAGTGGCAACACGTTTCTGTTCACATATTCCGCCTACATAAATTGTATGTAGGTACATACATAAATTGTATGTAGGTATGTACGCTTTTTCCAGCTTAACTAAACACTTACCAGTATTGTGGTCGTAACTTGTGGTTTGAGGTGTGACAGCAAAACTAGCACGAATTTCTTTTTTCCCCTTCACAATTTCACAGATAGAAGATTCGTTCCTAACTATAGATCTTAGCAGCCTCAGCATACCATTTTTTTTTCTTTGCTGAAGTCGAGAATTTTCATCTTTTCACTTAAAGGAAGCACTTTATTGTTTCTCTTTGGCATACGTGAGTTGCCAGCATCACTACACTTGTGCTTTGCGGCCATTACTAAGTAAATTAAGGGTTACTTGAACACAAGCACTGCGATACTGGGGCAGACAACCTGACAACCAAGATGGCTATTAAGTCACTACTGGGTGGAGAGTGTAGACAGATGGACACATTGGACGAACGGAGGGTTTGTGCCCTGAGCAGGATGGAGCAAGATTTTTTTATACCACTCAGAACGACTCACAGTTCAAAAGGTATGAATTGTTTATTTCTGGAATTTTTCATTTAATATTTTTGTATTGCTGTTGACTGTGGGTAATTGAAACTAAGGAAAGTAAAATTATGGAAAAGAGGGGGTGGGCTACTATACCTACATATAATGGAATAGTATTCAGTCTTAAAAAGGAAAGAAACTCTGATATGTTTCTATGACATGGATGAACCCTGAAGACACTATGCTAAGAGAAATAAGCCAGTCACACAAAGACAAAAACTCTGTGATTCCACTTAGATGAGGCACTGATACGAGTAGGCAAATTCAAAGAGATGGCAATTCGAATGGTGTCTGCCAGGGGCTGGGAGGTGAGGGGAATGAGGAGTTGTTTAATTGGTATGAACTTTCGGTTTGGGAAGATATAAAAAGTTCTGGAGATGGTTGGTCGTGTTTGTTGCATAATAATGTGAATGTATTTAAAGTCACCAAACGGTGCCTGTAAAAATAGTTACAATAGTAAATTTTATGTTATGTATATTACCACAATCAAAAATTGACAAGGAAGTCCCACAGACACTTTACTCGGCCAATCCAATGCAGCAGTTCTCTGGGAAGAACTTTTGTTCTGGGGAGGGTAGGGCTTCTTACTGAAGGGCAGGTGTCAGTGTAGGTGAATAAGCAGGTTGGGTGGGGGTTGGGTGAAGGTGAGGTCATTCAAGGCGACTCTTTGGCCAGGTAGAAATGAAGGGACAAGATTGAAGTCACCGCCTCCCCCAAAACAGAACAGAGGTTCTTTGAGCCTTTTCCTCCAACTCTCCTTCACCACATTCATGCCTTAGCTTCCCAACGTTGGCCTTTTTGCTACTGGCTACCTAAATAGTTTGCATTTCTAGACAAATAGGTGAAAGAAAAGAGCAGCCATAACCCAACATCCCTGTAACTGCCCTGAGGCCCCAGATCCTGGGACTTTCCCCAATAGCTGGATACTTCCTCCTCTGTGAAAAATAACAGGGATTGGCTGGAGCTAACCCAAAAAGCAAGCGGACGTAGACACAGGCTCTTGGAAAATACCAAATGCTATTCAAACCTAGAGGTTTAGTTTCCCCACCCCCAAGGACCCGGAAGAGGCTGCTCACAGCTGGGTGAGGTGCATAAGGATCGTCGCCTGGCTCTTTCGAGGGTGGGGGGGAGCAGGTGCCGCTCTTCTCTGGGCATGTGTACCTCCCGGGTGTCCTTCATGTAGCTGACACAGAGCGCCTTACACAGACACTATGGCCTCTCTGAAAGAGTTAAGATCTTTCTGTAGCTCTTGAGATGGAGTATTTGACACCAATAAAGGCTTTGGCCACCTCCTCGAACTTTGAACTTTTTATTTTCTAGAGATGGGGTCTTGCTGTGTTGCTCAGACTGGTCTTGAACTCCTGGGTTCAAGCAATCCTCCTGCCTCAGCCTCCTGAGTTGCTGGGACTATAGTTGCCAGCCTGGGTTTTTATCTAGATCTTAATAACCAGAGTTGCTGTGCACTCTATGTAGGATTTGGCTTACTTGGCAAACTCCATGTCATAAACTCAGTATTTCTTCAATAAACTCAATATTGATTTACTATGGTCTGGCAGCCGAAGTAGCCCAAACTTCTGGCCTGTATTCTGTAAGGTGGAAGATTGGGCCTTTTAGTAGAAACCTCCAAGACCTAGGAATCTCTATTGAGACCCTGGGGTTAATGCAGTCTCCACCAAATCCAAGTGCTGGCTGGGAGACAGGAGTCAGCAGGATTTCACCAGGATGGTCAATTTTTATCCAGAATAGGGCTATGCCTGCATTAATTTGTCACCAGTGGAATGAAAATACAAACCCGCTGAGTATGATAGTTTGATATGAGGAGTGGTCGGTTATATAGAAAATTTAAAACAGAAAGCCCATGAGAAGTTTGCCTTTGTAAGTGCCCATTAACTCCTTCCTAACAGGGTGACAGAGAGCTGGTGCCGCCACAGGGAGTGTGCTGGTCAGAGCAGACCTCCTCCCCAGGTGGACGCCATGACCCTTGACATCCTCCAGATCAAAGCTTCACTTTCCCTTGCTCACAGTGGCTTCTTAGACGACCATGTCTAAACCAGACCCTGCCTGCTATTCTTGGCCAGACAGAGAGAACAGCCTGAGTGAAGACTCTGAGGCGGGAGAGAGCATGGCATTAGTAGGGCCTGGCAGAAGGCCAGGATGATGGCCACAGTGAGTCCTGGGAAACGCAGCACAAGATAAGCCTGGAGAATTGACAAGGGCCGGTCTGTGCAGAATCTGAGGGTCACAGCGAGAAGTCTGCCTTTTCTCCCCATGCCCAGAGCAGGGAAGAAGGATTTGCAAGTTTCTCACACATGCCTTGGCTTAAGCAAAGCTTTCTGGCCTCCTTCAAGCCATAGCGCAGGGTGGCGTTTGCCATGCCTGACTCCCCAAGCTAGGCACTGGGAGTCCAAGTGAACCATCTGGAGGGGTCAACAGTGACGTGAACAGATAAGCCACAGCACAATGGGGCTTGAGTTAGAGGAGGAGAGAGGAATGTGCACGTCCCTGCTTGGATGTGGGGGCAGGAGCAGGAGGGCTCCAGGAAACCTCGCACAGATCTTTGGGCTGCCTAAATCCCGCTGCTCCATGTCTAGGTGGCTGAAGTGCCTCCTGACCTGCCTCATCCCCTCCTCTGGCCTGTCCTCTTTACCAACCCTGCTACCTGCCCATTCTAAGAGGCTCCACCCTTCCTTGGAACACAGAGTTCTCTGCCACTGGACTCTGGGGCGGGTGAGATTATTGAGTCAGGCGGGCGAGCATGAGAGGGAAGGAAGAGGGAGGGAGGTCAAAGATAGGAGGTGAGCTGGAGAAGAAAGGGACTGTTTTGAGGATTCCCCCTCACACATTCTGGCTCTTACCTCTGACCAAAAGCAAAGGGAGCACCTTTTACCAATGGAATGAGGCCAGGGTGTGTTGGCTTACGCCCGTAATCCCAGCACTTTGGGGAGGCCGGGGTAGGAGGATCACTTGAGCTCAGGAGTTCAAGACCAACCAGGGCAAGATAGTGAGACCCCCATCTCTACAAACATTTTTTTAAAATTAGCCAGGCATGGTGGCATCTGCTTGTGGTACTGGCTACTTGGAGGCTGAGGTGGGAGGATCTCTTGAGGCCAGGAGGTCAAGGTTACAGCAAGCCATGATCATGACACTTCACTCTAGCCTGGGTGACAGAGTAAGACCCTGCCTCTAAATAAATTAAATCAATCAATATCAATTAACTAACTAACCAACCTGTCTATCGGGGTCAGTCAGCTCTTGTAGTCCCACCTAACTTCCGCTTTGCCTTCTCCTGCAGCAGCAACGCCTTCGAAAGTGCTTACTGTGTGCCAGGCAGGCATTGCACATGGACGGGGACTAGAAGTTCAGATGGCCAGCTGGCCTGCTGCCTGGGGACAGGGAGTTTCCCAGGACCTGGGACTTTCGGTACTAAAACCAGGACAGTCCTGGGCAAGCCGGAACAGCTGGTCACCTGGTGGGAACTGA